GGCATTTCTTTTTGGCATTCCGACTATTCAGGGTTCAATCAGTATGCCCATGACGGCCATTTCCTAATACGTAGGTACTGCTGACTGTTGGTGTGCACTCTTTTTGTTTGACACAATCACAAGAAGGTGTTAAAAATGTTCTGCCTATTGGTGTTTTTGAAAAGAGGAAAATAATGGCTATATAGCATTCATATTAATTGTAATGGAATTCCATACATCTGGAAATTCTGAAGGTTTATAACTCTGAATTCCGAAACTAACTGGTTGTAATTCTATAACCAAATGGCAAATCCAAATTTTACTACTAGTGCATATCCATTCGTACTTTAACCAATGGCAGAAACAAACTCAGCTACATCTGTTTAATAGAAACAGAATTATAGACCGACACATCACATTTCTATTTTTCTCACAAGGAATGTAAAGTACTCTCTAAATTCCTGATTCTCATCAGTTTATGAGGTCTCAATATTACAAGGTGCACTGATAATGAATTTTCAAGCCCATTAAAAGTCCCCAACTCCCTGTGAGAAGGAGAGAAGAGTTCCTTCCCTGCCATATCTGCAATCAGTAGGAAATGTCTCCAGTATCTTCCTTTTTAGAAGTAAAGCACAAACAGTGAGCACAAAAAACAAAACAAAACTGGTGGACAACTTAAAAAGAGGGGGAAAAACCTATCCCATGCTTTGAATTCTCAAGTAAAAGTAGTAGAAATAGTAGATAAGAGCAATTCTTGCAATCTACACAATGTCACAGATTATACCCATTTGCACCAAATGGGTAATTTTTGTTAAAACACTGAGTTTCCCATTAAACATCATTCCAATCAGAAGGAAAAAATTCTGCTGAGAGTGCCAGGAAATGTCCTTGGTCCCCTTGCTGGCAAGAGGAAGAAAATTAGAGTACAGTATCTCATTCTCGCATGCGAGGATCGGTCAAGCAAAGATATATATCCATACTGATCATGCTGATATCTCACCTTGCTCCTGCGAGCAGGTGGCATCTATGAGTATGAGTAACACACTTATGCACAGGTTATGCTCAGAAAATCCTAAGCGATAGAATATAGGCATTTAGATATCTAGCTACATATATATGTGCTGAGGATGTGGCCACTGGTACTGTCATGAATGAGTGCCTGCTTCTCCCAATTTATCACTATACCACTATTTTCAAGTGCCTACAAATCACAACCTAGACTGTGGTCATAACGTATTTCTTGACATTCTGTCTTGCTTAAAGCATCTGTATTCCACTTTCTTCATTGCCAAAGCTGGCATACAATATGTTTAAAATTAAGCACATGAATCTCATAGAAGGCAGACAGAATTCCTATAAAGAGTACACCCTTAAAATAATTTTAGATGCAGCATCAGATACAAAGGACCAAGTTCTACAATAACAATAAGAACACTGAACACATGTACAAAACAAATGGGACGTTCACGAGTAATAAATGTTAGCTTGTATTTCTGAGGGAGGTGGGGAATTCATTTCTCGCAAATACCAATGTCTAAATCCAACTATGAAAACTGCACATTCATTGTTGCAGAATAATTCAACATCTACATTTCAGAAGGATCTGGAGAAAGCAAAGCTGCTGTTTCTAGTTTTGGAGCCATCCCAACCACTTGCTGGCATAGTAAAAGAGATATTTATCAGGCTCCTGGAATAAAACAATATGATGTAAATTACACTGGCAACTAAACAAAGGAATGGAAGCCTTGTGGCTGCTTTGCCCAAATACTTTTGCGCCTGCAGAGTAAACAAAGTTCTACTGTATGTATGCATTTGTGCACACCGGATATAAGAAGTAAAATCTGACAACTGTTGAAAACTGTGTGGCTTGCAAACAGCAGAAGGAACTTCTGCTAAAATGGCTAAAGTCTCCACCAATAAATGTATTTTATAATCGTCCGCAATATGATACAAAAACAAATGGAAAACGTTTGTTGGTTGGTTACATAAACAAAGCAAGACTTTTTCTCAAGAATATTTCTTCATAACAGATGGAACAAAATAATATTCCTCTACCACAAATGAAATAAGAAGAACTAGAACTAGCAGCATCTAAAGCAGGCTTGTCCAACCCACGGCCCAAGGGCTGCATGCGGCCCAGGTCAGCTCGTAATGCGGCCCAGTGCAATTTTTTATTTTTAAAGAAATTCCAAAGTTTCAAGTTACACTGCCGGCACTTGCGGCTGGAATGTGGCCGGGCCATGTCACAACAGTACAGAGGGAGAGATGGAAGGAAGGAAGGAGTGGGAGGGGAGGGGACAGGGGGGCTGTGTGACTGCATTGCGCCATCCCCGTCAATAGGTGGACCCCCTCCCGGCCTCATAAAGCTGCCAGAGTCAAAGCTGGCAGCTTCTGCTGTCTGAGATCGCAGCTGCCGGTAAGCACGCTTGGAGCGGGGCTGTGGAGGATGGCTAGGGCTGCCTCCCCATGTGGCCCAAACCAAATGTATGTGCGGCCTAAACCAAATTTTCATCTTCTAATGTGGCCCAGGGAAGGTGAAAGGTTGGCCACCCCTGATCTAAAGTGTACAAAGTAACGTGCTGGAAGTGTAGTAAGTGTAATTTGCATATTATGTTTGAGACCAAGGGCATGTTGGGTACCAATTGGAAAAATCACTTTTTTGGACCACTGCTCCAGAATCTAGTAACCATGCTGGCAGAGGGATTCTGGCAGTAGTAGTGCACAAAAGTAACTCTCTCTGCTAGACATAAAGTAAATGAGAAAGCATCTGTTACATAACCACTTTGAACACAACAGTAAACTGACATCATTTATATTATTTTTAATAATAATAATAGTAATTGTTATACTTGAAATACAGCTATTTGGGATATTTGCAGTCCAAGTCTGTCTGAGCACTTAGTTATTCCAGAAGCTATATGCTTTCTATACACACAAATGCATGCATATGCACATATACAATTTTAAATCACACACTGGTGCATGAGTACTGGGTATTCAAAGCAAAAGCTGACTAAGACACTTTGCCGCCTAAGGTATAGCTGCAAGCACCCCTCCCTCCACAAGACAAATTGCATAGCATCCAAAACCAAGCAGGTGTCTGGTAGAGAAGAAAGAAGATATCACAGCTGTTAGGGGTGCAAAAGACACAATAATAACACATTAAATGAGTGATGATGAGTCAATGTTGCTCTTACATGACAATCCAAACCTGCCACCTGAGATGATCACTTCACTTTACCTAAAAATAGGGAAACTCTTGATTCACAGGATAGCTATATCTTACATTTTTCCTGATAAATAATGTACATCTTTTATATTTTCTCTGATATCAAGCCAGCCAGTTTTCCTGAGAAACTCTGGCATGTTACTTCCAAAGTATCTCTTCCTTTGTGCTATTTTAGCATAGATGACATATTCCCTCTAAGCTAGGAGGGTGTACGGGTGTGTAGCACTGTACTGGTGCTGTGCATCCGCAGTTAGTGTTGTTGCTCATTTTGGTCGTGGTTGGAACTCTGTGCATGTGGGATGGGCTTTCTGCCCAGTGTTGTTGGTGAAAAATCAGAGGGAACGTTAACCCCACCCATTCTCCACTTTCTAAAGCTATTATGCAACTTTAATTGCCACAGTACAAACTGGTTGTTGTGCTGTAATCTTCAAAGTTTTTTTTTTTTTTTTGCAGGCTTGAGATACCAAATTTTATGTAATGCTCCTTATCAATAGAGTTAAAACTAATTAAAAGTAAAAAGAAAAAGAAAAAAAAGACTGCAACCCATTATAGATATTATGTGGATCTGTGGTAGGAAAGATAGGACTCTGTGTGCCTGAACTGAAGACCTCAATGGTGCCACTTATCATACTTGCCATGGGGGCTACAGTACTGTCCTCAGGTAACAGTAAGGCAATACTAGGCTTCCTCCCAGTTTTGAAGCTGAAGAGACAGTCTGAGTGCCTTGGCAGTTATGAAGCAATCCCTGCCTCCCTGAGTACAGAGTTCAGAGGAAGAATAGAGACGGTTTGGCTGTGAGAGAAGAGCCTTTTTGGCCCCATGGTTTCCAAGCTGGTAGTATCTTCTTCCCACTGGACCCTCCACCCAAAGTCAAGGCATTTGAGCCAACATATATTATGACAAATGACTCTCACACATATGAAGAAGATACACACATAGCAGTGTATAGACATACAATGGCAATCATACATTGAATGTATAACTTTAGACATGCAATGCCCTATTTATAAATTTGAGCCTACCTAATTTATTTTTGAGCATGAGAAAATTGCTTTGACTGTTTCTCCCTAAACCGCTCCCCCATAAATTCTTTAAGTGTATTATTTTCTAATGGGATAGCCATAGGTAAGCTAAGATGAACGCGATAAACAAACAACACCTTGGTGCATTTTATATATCTTCAGCATGAACATATAAACTGAAGGCAACGGGATGATGCATAAAATAAGCAAAATATATTTTTGTCAATAAGATTAACATTGAGCCTGAATAATGCCACAACTTGAATTTGTAGATGAAAATAAATTTCATTAAAATATTCAGCCATAACTATTCAGAACCACATATTATTCTAGAAAAACAAAACAGAAGAAAAAAAGAACTGGATCCTATTTGCAACTCCACAGATGGAAAGGCTCCTTGGATACCCAGAGGGAACATGAATCAAAAAGAGATTTCGCACAACAGGAAGTTGGGTGACAATTCTTTCCTCCTGCAAGCCACTGTACCATGCCCTACGCTATTCTAATGTGGGAGGTACCAATGGCTGGGTGGGGGAGAGGAATCAGGAAAGCAGCGTACCCACCCAAGGACTTTAGAAGGATGTTTTTTGGGAGACGGCCGCCTTTGACTCCCTAGTGAGCACGGCCGTGCAGGCCCCAACGTCTTCCTCATTGGTGCATATCTTGATCCAATTCATTTTTTTTTTTACTTCCATGAGATATTATCTGTCAACGCAGTTCAAAATTCAAACAATATTAAATTGTTTCTAATATAGAAGAAAAACAGTATCTCACCCCTCAAAACAAAACTGGAACTTTGGTTTATAGGAACCGGTTATGCCCATATACCCTCCTCATCATCCTGTAAGCCCGATGTTAGACGATGGAGAGAGGTGTTGGCATGGGAATGAAAGAAGAAACAGTCAGTTACTTTGGTGCAATTGAACACATTGAAATTCATTTATGAAAATGTACATTATCAATTAAAACATTATGATGTGTACAAAGCAATGGTGTCATTTCACATGCAAATAATCCAAAAATATGAGGAAACATTTCTTACTCAGTTGCTACTTTCTTTGAAAACAGATTATACGATCTGATAGCTAATGATTTGCACAGAAAAAAAATTCTAACTATTATAGATGGAATAAGGTTGTAATTCAACACATGCTTCCCAAAGAGGAATGCTTACTTCTGAATCAGCATCTACAGAATTGTGCTGCAAATATCACAAATTAAATAAGACACATCAGCAGTATAAAGAAAATGTTTCGCTTTTGAAAAGCACAAAAATGTGCGATAAATCCTTCTAAATAATGTAATAATTTATTGATACAGATCTTCTTTTGTTGGTGGTCAATCAAATCCATTGTTTCTTGCTTCACAGACTGCTATTTTAGGACTTGAAAATGCTATCTTGAGAAAGTCTTTGTCTCCTTTTTCAAAACAGATGTATGGCCATTAGTTATTTTATTTTATTCCATTTTTACCCCTTCCATTTAGTGGCCTAGCCACTACTCACTACAGACATTTAAAAAGCTATAACACAGGGTAGTTTGCCCAAAATTTGGAATGTGTCACAGGACATCTCCAGTGGAAAGGCCTTGCCCATCAATATATCTATGAACCTTCCCTTCTCACTTTATAAGTAGTATTTGCCACTTTATGGAATAGTTGTATGGTATTTTATATGGTGTTCTGTACTCATACTTCAGACCTTGCCCTATTATTAATAATTAATTTTAATAATTATTCTGAATAATATTTTTTTCATTTCCATATGTATAACTGAAAAATGAAGTTCGCCCATATTAACCAACAGTAGCAATGAACAGAAGTAAACCGGGATAGATCTGAAAATCAAGGATCTTGCTCAGATAGAGAGCTTCCTCATGAACAGGAACCTTCCCTCCCTGGACATATTGCTTCCATGCAAGGAAAGCAATACCAGAGGAAGTGAGTTAGGTCAGGAACAAATTTCAATCACTATAATAATCAGGGCATTTATGCTATACTTACATGAGCAAAAAAAAGTGTGGTGTTCTCCATGCCCATAATTATGGAATAACAATTGTAAAATCAGTCTGATATTAATGGATTTTTTTAAAAAATGGCATCAAAAACAGTATGTGCTAACCAGTACCTGACTCCATGGAAAAGACTCCATGGAAAAGCCTTTTTAAATCCTTGCATCAGTTTTTAGATATTCCGAAGGACTTCTAATTAATAGGATTTGCTGTTTGATGAACTATAGCAATGTAAGTTTTGATGTGTGTTGGCCTGATATGTGCTTCATGAACTAATGTGCAGATTAAAGCTAGGTTCTTCACCAGCTTTTGCACTTCTTGCATATCCTGATGCAACTCTTGGCTCAAAATTATATCAAGAGACTAAATCCAATATCAGTCACAAAGACAAAAGATTTGTCAAAATCAATGGAATTTAGATTAACAAAGTGCAAGAATTTCAAAACTTTCAGTCTTGGTTTGCTTACAATAATGCTACTTTTCTGAATTATTACTGAAATAATAATGTTTGTTATGTGGAACAAGTATATTACCGTAAAGCTTACCATAAAGGAGGCCATAGGAAGCAGTCAGAGTAAATGGCTGCAACACTGAATGGCCATCGAATGACACTACACAGGGCTAAAATCTTTAGAGAGTGATGTAAGGTAGAGTTAAGAACACTTCTGTAACACAGTCTTCATGAGTTAAACTTTTGTGCCTTCCTCCCTTCCCTGGAAAATCCCCACTTGACAAGACTTGTCATAGATGCCTTTCATGTCCTTGAGTGCAAAGAACTAACATCTCAACTTCAGTTAAGTAAACTTAGTGATATTAATGTGCTCATCTCATGAAACAGCTTTTTTTCTTTTTAAAAAAACACTATATAAGGCATCCCCTTCTTGCCTTATTGTCTGCTGCCTGCAACGGATGCTTTGAGTTGTCAAACATGTAACCACTGGCCCTGAGACTATGAAAGCTTTCTACATCCTGAAGACAATAAGATTTTTGACATACTGGTTGCCACATATGGGATTTCATTTCTTGCAACAAATATATTTACTTGCTGTGACCTGAAAAGACTTTATGTTTCAAAAGTGTACAGGCCACTTGCAAAAATTCTGACAATGTGCTAATCTTCAGCTAGTTTGTGAGAAACATGCAAGGTCAGGAAAAACACATCAATAATGATGCCTAGACGTGCAGTTTTAAAGAGCTTTAACAGAGGAGCACAATAGTTGGGAAGCTTCACTGTGTAGGAAATAAAGTTTTGTAGACCTTCAGTAACGCTGAGACAAAACTAAATGACCTGCATTAGGCTCACTTTCTGATCAACATATGTTGTTCATTTTTTCACCTGTTTTTCTGTCTTGAGGTATGAATCCATCTGATGCTGTTCTCTCCCCTCACACCATTCCATTTTTTTTCCTTCAGGGCCATCACTGCTATTAAATAGTGACTCCTATGATTTTGCTCATGATACAGGACCTTGTTACCTTACCCCTCCAACAAGAATATGAGCTGGAGTAGTGTGACTCTTGGAGGCTCACTTCAAAATGGTGGTAGGAGCCCGTCAATAGAGACGGAGGCATTTGTACAGTGGTGCCTCGATTTACGAACATCCCTACTTACAACCATTTTGAGTTACGACCAGCTCCGGCTGCGAAATTTTGCTTTGACTTGTGACCGGAGCTTCTACTTATGAACAGAAAAAGGCAGAGAAAAAAGGCGGGAACATCAAATTGCTAACTGTAGGTGGCAACGAGGCTGCTTCTTTGTAGCTCTTTCGCCCAAGCAGTTAGAGAGTGTGCGTTGTTGTCGTAGACTTGGGACTGCCTCCTTCTGCTTCTCAGAGCGTGTGTGTGTGTTTGCAGGGAGGCTTTGGGCTGCCTTGTAAGGAAAGGTGCTGTTTTCTGCTTTTAAAAAAAGTATTCTGGGTGTTTTTGCAGTGTGGTTTTGAGCTGGGGGGTTATGTTTCTGTGCTGTGATGGGTCTTGAGGGGTTTGTGGGTGTTTGTTTTTTTTTTTGTTTTTTCCCATTTCCGATGGGTCTTGGCTGGTTTTGTTGCTTTTTGGAGTGTTTTTTCCCCATTTACGATAGGTCTTGGGGGGGTTGCTTGTTTTTTGGGTTTGAGAAAATATGCCCTTTTGTTATATACTGTCATTTCAACTAGTTTACTTTTGGTGAAATGTACAGCCTAAATCATCCCCACCTGTTGCTAATCATTCTCTGTATGTATTCCTCAGATAGTTCTCTCGGACAAAATCCATCCAGCTTTCAGCTATGAAATAGAGCTGCACAAATCTTTGTTTTTGGACTGCATCTCTCAGAATACCCAAGACAGCATCAGGAATCCTAGAAGCTGTAGTCCAAAAAGACAAATCTGTATAGTCCCACTATGAAATAACTTGAAATACATGATCTTTTCTGATTCCACAAGATTCATGTGCTCTCTTAAAATATTTCTGATTCTTGACATGATAAAATTAATTAATGTTATAATATCCCTGATACAACTGTTATTTCCTACATCCTCACATAGCCACATGTTTCTTGTTCAATTTCTTCCTCTCCATCCCCCTCCCTCAAATAATAAGTGGGTGTTTTATTCACATAACTGAATTCAAAGTGTTGTCCATACTAAAGGTACTTTTTAAATCTTGAAAGTAAGGCTCAAAGGAGATATGTAAACAAGATGGTGAGAGTGGAGAGGCATTTCAGCTCAGCTCTAATAAATACCTCATTTTATATTAAGGAAAATGGATTTTCTATCAACTGTGTCACATGCCAACTTTTTAAAAAACCCATAGTCCTACCCACAGACCAAACTCCTCTCAGGCCCCAGTAACCTTTCCTTCTTTAACAACATCCATCATGACTGGAAAATAAGCAAGTTCCCGCAGCTGATGTAACATAATAGCTCCTTTCTCATGCAACATGGTACGGATATGCCAATCTTCTGTCTTCCTCTTTGTGCAAACTTCATGCATAAGAAACCGTCTGGATCTTCCCCTTAAGGCCAGGTACTCTCAATGTTTCCTCTGTTTGTGTTTGGCAAAGTCAAGCAGTGTTAGACTGCCTTTCATGGAGCTGAAGGAAAATATTCTAGGCATTCTATTATATTTCAAGTTTGCTTTATAAAATCAGAAGCAGCTACAAATGCACTGCTGTTTTGATAATTTGATGCAAAAGGTCAAAATGTATCTGAAAATTTACTTTTAAATATGAATATCACGTTAATAATAGTGTACAGCTTCAGCTCAGTTATATTCTCATAGCCAGGTTGGATTCAAAAAGACAATTGTCATAAATTATATTTAAATCGAACAGCTATCCAAACAAAAACTCTATAGTCCATTTATAAAAAAAAAATCCTCCGGAACATTATTTTTAGTAGTTGAATTGGGATTCTTCAGAAATGCCATGAGAGTAAAAGAAGAAAAGAAAACCATAACAAGGAGAAGGAAAAGCCAAACAGAAAGAGAAAGAAAAACATTTAGACTCTCTGAGTGATGGAAATAAATCACAAAGCTATTAGTTTCAGTTCAAAGAGCATATCACTCATATTGTTTATTTTTGCTTCTGAACATTTATTTTATCTTGAAAATTGGCATGGCCAAAGGGTAAGTGTGAAGGCAATGAAAGGAAAAAAGAGATGTGACTGACCTGTTCTGGAGAGGGTCTATGATTTGAGTGCTGTGTCCTCCCAGGAGATCTGTGGTGATGGTGGTGGTGATGGTGATGGTAGTGGTGATGATCATCATCATAATTGTCGGCCATCAGTTTCATCCTGTTCTGTGTCTGTCGGAATTGAAGCAAGAAAATGCCATTGAGGGCTGGAAGGCACAAGTCTGAGAGAACAGAAGTTGGGTTTCTGCTGTGATACAAGGGGTAGAAGAAATTCAGCAGATCTCAAATTCTCGTATACCAATTTTGTATCTGCTCAACTTCCCAATGAAATGTGTACTTTTCAGAATTTTGCAGCCCAGTCTGCAGCACGAAAAAGGCAAACTGTGTATCTTAAGCAAAAAATACGTACAAAAATACATATATTTGCACACAGTATGAAAAAGACACATTATTATTGTGGGAGAACAATCTGAAAAGGTGTACACGCTAACAAATGTCCAAACATGTATACATTGGAAAGAAACTAGACATGTAAAGATCCACTTGCCTGGCTTTTTGCAGTGATTAAAAATTTCACTCAGGAAATCAGTCCAGAAAGATTTTAAACACTGAGCTAACTTGGTTCTCCCACCTGTTGACTTGGGCTGTTGAAGGGTCACAAGGGATTAACAGAGACATATGGACTACTAAAGTGAACTAATAAAATGTTTGTGGATCAGTAATTTTTATGGGCATATCAGCAAAACTACTTGTGGCTCTTTTCATGGCAGTTGAGCAAATGCAAATACTGTGATGCATTTACAGAATTGCACTCATTTGGAATTTGACTTGTGAAGTAGGAAAACCAAGACTCATAGCACTTGGACTTTATAATTCGATGTGGACATCATCTCCTCCCTCCAGATTCTTTTTTCTGTCTGAGATTACTCAAAATCTTCAAAATAGCTGGGGATGGATAATTTAAGCATATAACAATTTTCCCCAGCACCAGTATATTGTTTGGAGTTGTCCATACAGTAATATTTAGCATCTTGGAGAACCATAGTTTCAAATAGGAAATTAAAAGCCATTTGCTTTATAAAAGACCGAACAGAAATGAAAATAACCAGAACTTGTTTGTTTACTCTCAGTGCAATCCTAACTCAGAGATACACTGGCCAAAGTGAGTTTGAAATGGACAGACATGTCTTGTGCCGTACAACTGCCATTTTGCCAGCAGAACCCCAGTAATTGATTTGCATTTTGGGAACATCTGCTGCTCAGGTCCATAAATTAAGATATCATCTAAATATGATTCAACACCTCCCTACTAGACATGGGGACAAATACAAAAATGAATCAGGATATTGGTTAAATATCCCTGATTCATCAGATATTCATTGCTTCATATTCTTGGGGTCCAGAGACCCTTTTATATTCATCCCTTCGCTCCATATCTGCTTATGCCCCTGCAGATCACCTCTTCTTCAGAGGCATAAGCACAGAGGGGTTTTCCCTTTGGCTGGCTTGATGAAGCCATGGCTGCATGATCGCTTTGATACCTGCCTTCCCTCCTCTTGCCATGCATAGCACGAGGAGGGAAAGCAAAAATAATAGGACCCAACAAATGATGAATTGATTCATTGTTCGTCAGGTCACTGGGCAAGGAAAACCATGGTTCATGGGTCATCAAGATTGACCCACAAAGCAAGACAAACTGCCATTTTGGCGCTTCGTCCCCATCCCTACTCCCGATCATACCAGCCTAAAACACACACTATATTTGGGAAAGAAACATACATAATTCAACATTACATTACATTTCCTTATTCTCCGTATGCTGGGTGCAAAATGGTTCATATGAATATATCTAAATATCTATGATAATGCACTGTCAGTTTCCTGAATCTGATTTGGATTGCTGTTAAGCACAGTGTGGCTAGGAAAATACTCCTCTAAGCAGGATATCCCTCATCTCTTGTTTCTTGTGTGTTGTTTCTTAATATTAGATCATAATCCTGAGGGCAAAGACCTATTCGTCCTATTACTTATTTTGCAAGATCCTGAGAGATTTTTCAGCTAAAGGGTAGTTATAAAAGCATAAATTCATGCATGCAGAGGTGAATAAATATATAAATATTTTACAATGGCAACACAGACATAGGTACAAATTGGAAGACCAATCGCATGCATGAAAAACATAATGTGTGAATGGACCCTAATGGTGAGGCTTCTGCAACATTCTGTTTGAAAGCCAAAAACGTTATCTACAGTGCAATGTGTGTTTGCTTTTCACTGAATGACCAAAGTTATAAAACTGACGTTAGAGTGGCCTATAGAAGAAAGAAAGCTTGTTACTGACCTACAGTTGAATGCTGTTTATTGAGTCTTAAATATAGCTACAAATCACATGGTGAAAAAACCTTATCCATCTACACAGTGACAAGTATTCTAATGTACTAAAGGACTGCCCTATCCAAAGTATATACTGTATATTCCTAACAGGTTTATACTACAAAGAAGGAGAAAACAAGATGTGTGTAGATTTTTAGCAATTACATCCCTAGCAGATAGGTACTGTAAACCTTACAATATTGTTCTCAGCGATGTTCCTAGTTCTATTAATTTTCTTATCAATGAACAATCTTAAATTTCTTATCTTTAAGCTATACTCTATAAAAATGTATAAGTTAAACAAGGTGATATATGGAGCCCTGCGAATGTTTTGTATAATGAGGTGGTGGGGATTCGGTTTGTCATGGAATAAGAACTGTGAATGAATGATGCCATCTTCTCAATTTGGTATTGAAATACTGTAGAAATAAATCAGTTCTACTATCTTCCTCTCGTGAAAGAATCCAAACTATAGGAAAGCATGTGTAAAGCTACTAGTGACACTAAGATGGGTTTCCCAGTTTGATCAGCCGTCCTAAATCTTTCTGTCTCTTAAATAAATTTTAAATAGTGTATACACATGCCCCCACACACACACACATAGAGAAAGAGCCAGAATTTTAGTATGGCATCAAAATTTTCTCAGGACCAGGTGATTTGTTTTTTACTTGGCTAGAACAACAGAGAAACAAAGTTTAAAGTTAGATTTTGGTTTCTTTTGCCATCCTGTTACAAGGAAATGCAAATTGCTACACCTGCTTTAAGTGCTTATTTCACTTCATTTCATTTATAGGTAGTTTCAACCTTCCAAATATGTTACAATTAGATGAACTGAGATGGGAATTAAAAGGCAAGCAGAAAACACAGGATGATCATAATTTCCTCTATCAACTATTTAAACGAAACACTGTGAATTACTGCTGCAAGTTCTACTTACTAATTCTTTTAAGGTTCAGTAGGCTTTGAAATGCCAGGTATACTTTTCTTCCAGGAAGAAATTAATTAACCAGACTGGAATTTGTCCAGGACCCCAAGGCCTTTATACCTCTACACTTGGAAAAAAAATGTGATGCGATTTTTATTGACCACATGTGTTTAAAAGCTTAGTTTATCTGGGGGGGGGGGAACCCTGTGCACTTCCAGTGGCACTATGTCCTATGGAAATATGCTGAACAATATTGATCTGGAGTGAAGAGCACCATCTACTGACTTTGCACTGCTACCACTTCCTGATGTTTCCAAGTTTTCCTTAAAATATATTCTTTCAAATCCATTATTGAACAAATCTGTTCCTAGTTAGCATGAGATGGCAAAGCGGAATAAAATTCAACACTCCACTGCTTTGATTTTTGTATGCAATTCTATACGTATAAAAGATATTAGAATCTGTAAATATTAAACTACATATTTCATAAAATGGAGAGGGCAGTTAATCAAGAGTAAGTTTAGCTTGCTATGTCTTTTGCAACTAACATTTAACAGTTTAAGCAATACAGTTCATTAGTCTGTGGAATTGATGTTTCTTATGCACTTTAACTCAGATTTTACAACCATTATTTATTCTGGTAAGTGTAAGAATGACACTTGAGCTGTATGCCTGCCACACATATTACCCACAAGTAAATCTCACTGAATTCTGTTGGGTTTACTTTTGTATAGTACAGCACTTCAACTACATGAACTTTAATTACCCAGTACTATCCTAAAAAGTTGTATCATCAACAGTCATGTTCAGCTCTTACAAACTCAAGGTTATGGCTTGCTTCATTGTGTCAACCCATCTCATAATTTGTCTTCCTCTTTTCCTGTTTCCTTCAACTTTCTCTAGTATTACTGTCTTTTGCAGCAAGTCTTCTCATGATGTGTACAAAATATGGTCACTTCATTTAATCCTTTTTGCTTCTAGTGAGAGTTCGTTTGATCCTATCTAGCACCTACTTATTTGGCTTTCTCATCATCCATGATATCCATACTACTCTCCTCCAACATCATATTCCAAATAAATGTCAACTTTCTCCATTGGCCAGCTTTCACGTCCATGCACAGCAATCTAGAATATCACAGTATGGATGATTTTTGCCTTGAAGATCCTTCCTAGTTCCTTCATAGCTGCCCTTCCAGTCCTTGATCCGATTTCTTGGCTGCATGTTTCTTTTCAAACTATAAATGAAGATATTTAATTTCTTCAGTGTTAAACATTAAACGGAAGTGATTCTTCTGTAGGTATGATTTTTGTCATCTTAATATTCAGCTGCAGTCTTGGTTTTGTCCTTTTTTCTTTTGCCGTCCTCAGCAGTCATTCTAACTTGATGCTATTTTCTGTCAATAATATGGGGTTATCTGCATATCTTAAATCATTACTATTTCTTGCATCAATTTTAATTATTTCTTCATCTGAATTGAATCTAGCTTTCCATATGATATGTTCTGCCTAAAGACTGAACAGACAGGGAGATAAAATACACTCTTGACTGAAAGATTTGCCTATGGGAAAATATTCTGTTTCACCATATTTTGTCCTAACTAACTTCTGGTCCACAATACAAGTTACACATCAGGACAATCAATGTTGAGCACACCTATTTCTTTTAGAATGATTCATAGTTTTTCAGGATCTACGCAGTCAAGGGCTTTAAGCTGCAAGAAAAGGAACTGAGATGAGCTTGGAAGGAAAAATACCATAATTGGGATAAGAGACGCAGAGAGAAAATGAAAGACAAGATTAAAGAAAAACTGTACTGAAAAGGAGAAATTGAGACAAGAGGAGGAGTAAGTTGGCTGTGGCTGTATGAGATGAC